CCCAGGTGAGACAGTTTCCCCTTGAGGAAAATCAGAGGACCCAGCATTGACATTTGAACAAAGACAGCAGAGCCACCTAGACACAGTGCCTCCTCTGACATGTCCAGCCCTGCCCCAAAGCTGCAGACAAGGGAATAGTTGACAGTCCTGACTGACTCCAAAGGGAAGAGGCTTCCTGAGACACCAGGCCTCAGAGCCACAAGGACCCCACTTCCCAGAGGCTGGCAGTCCATGCTAGCTTCTGAGGGCAGTGTCAGTATGAGAGTCTGATTCTGCTCCACACTTAACTTCTGCAGGGAAGAAAACAGGAGTATTAACAGAGGCTGCAGCCTGCATGCTGGGTCCTCTTGTAAGTCCTTATATTAGCCTCTGCTTGCGCCCCCTCCCCAGCCGATTATCCTCAACTCTGAGCCACACAGGGTCCTGTAGAGCCAGGAGTACAGCTGCCCCCTGTAAGAGGCAGGAACTATGGAGACAAAGAACAGAAAGATCAAAGGTCAGACCACCAGGGTTCACACCAACCACTCCTTAGCTCTGTGATGTCAGCAAGCTGCCAAACCTCTCTGTGTCTCAAAAAGACCTAGGAAATTCAGCCAGGTGTGGTGGCGCACACCTTTAATCTCAGCACCCAGGAGGCAGAGACAGGTGGATCGTTGTGAGTTCAAGGCCAGCCTGGTCTACATAGTGAGTTCAGGTCAGCTGGGACTACAGGGAGAACTTTTCTCAAAAAAAAAAAAAAAAAAAAAAAAAAAAAAGACCTAGGAAATAACTGTCCCCTTGAATTTCTGGTTCACAGTTAATGAGTTAATTAATATAAAAAACTAATAACATGGGTTGAGCCACTCCAAATCCTTAGAGAACTTAGCTGTTAATGCCATTCCTCAGCCTGAAATGCCTTCCCCAAGCAGCCTCCAAGGCTTCCCCGCCCACCAGATTCTCTTTCCTCCCCTTCTTCTAACACCTTATCTAATAGTGTTTTATCTAAACCAAGGATAATAAAGAAGCTTAGCCTTATGAGACAGTCTAGCCTAGTGGCTTAGTGCCTGCAGCTGTGCAAGAAGTGCTGAGGTGCTGAAATCAACTGGTAATGTCCGCCATGACAGAGGGAGTGATGAAGTTAACTGGTAATGTCTGCCATGACAGAGAGTGTGCTGAAATAGACTGGTAATGTCTATCATGACAGAGGGAGTCCTGAAGTTAACTGGTAATGTCTGCCATGACAGAGAGCGTGCTGAAATAGACTGGTCTATCATGACAGAGGGAATGCTGAAATTGTTAGATTTCGCAGGACAAAGAAAGGATTAAGTTTAGGTAAAAGACCAGAGCCAGACCTTTCTGCAGACCGAAGAGCATTTATTCCGCCAGGTGGCAACAGCTTCTCTGCGGAAAGCAAGCTTGTGAGTAGGTGGGAGGGGTTGTGGTGGGTTTTCTATTGCTAGAAATAAAGAAGGCACACACAGCTGTGAAGTCTGAGTTAAGGTGTCTGTCCTAGTTTGTTTCTCCATTGCTGTGACAAAACACTCTGACCAATACCAACATGGGGAGGAAAGGGTTTATTTATCTTACATCTCCCAGGTCACAGCTCATCAGGGAGCCCAAGGTAGGAACTCAGGGTAGGAATCTGGAGGCAGGAGCGAGAGTACAGGCCATGGAGGAATGCTGCTTACTTACTTGCACCCCTGGCCCCTGCTCAGCCTGTTTTCTTATGCAACACAGGCCCACCTGCCCAGGGGTGGCACCACCCACAGTGAGCTGGGCCCTCCCACATCACTCAACAATTAAGAAGATGCCCCATGGACATGGCCACAGGCCAGTCCAATGAAGGCAATTCCCCAAGTGAGGCTCCCCCAACCTAGGTGTGTCAAGTTGACACCACAGCTATCCAGGACAGTGTCCTTGGGCCCTTTTCCTGGAGTTGTTTGCTTGAGCAGAACAAAGAAGCTGTTCAGTTCAGATGACTGGTTGATAATGGAGGAGCAAGGACAGCAGAGAGACATCCTGGCAGGAGGAGTGGGTTGTCTTTCTTCTCTGCAGTGGTGGCACTCCATCAGGCCCAGATAGGGATGTGGCTAACTGTTAACAGTGGGGCTAGGAGGAGACACTTGTTTTAGGGAACTTCTGGTTTCTATCAGAAGTCAATTGGTGATGTCTGCCATAGCAGAGGGAGTGCTGAGGTAGGTTGGTAATGTCTGTCCTGGCAGATGAAGTGCTGAAGTCAATTGATAATGTCTGCCATGGCAGAAGAAGTGATAAAACTGATTGGTAATGTCTGCCATAGCAGAGAAAGGGCTAATGTGCTGCCATTGATTAGCAATGTCTGCTGTGGTAGAGGACTTACACAGTGACAAATGCAGGGAAGCCAGCTCTTCTCCATTCTTTAAGCTTGTGGCATGGCTTCATACTGGAGTCTATGGGGCTGGATTCAGTCCCCAGTCTAAGGCAGAAACTGGTTATAGGGACCCAGTCCCTGCACTGGAGCAACTACCCCAGGACTGGGTTCACACACCAGGTTCTGAGTCAGTACCTGCCAAACACCAACTCAAGGGGCTCCAGAAGCATCCTGGCTTTTCGCAGGTTATGAAACACACTTTGCATCTGCTGGAATCTCAGAATCCTTTTGGTGGGTATCTGAATGAGGGTGCCTTCAAATACATGGGAGCCAGTATACCCACTCCAGTCAGAATCAGACAGACCACAGTGAGCAACCCAGTTCTCCTTACTTGACTGACAAAACAAGACCCACAAGGGAGTCTACCTCTGCCACAGCAGACATTACCAGTTGACTTCGCCATTCTCTCTGTCATGGCACATGGAGGACACTGACTTTAGCACTCACTCACTCTGCCATGGTAGACTTTACCAGTTGACTTCAGCACTGTCTCCTCCATGGCAGACATTATGAATTGATTTTAGCACTTCAGCACTCTTTGTTCCACTGGAGGCTGGCCTTCCCTGAGGACCTTCAATGGGCAGACACTGTTTCTAGAACTTTACAAACTAAAATTCACTAAATTTACAAACTAAATTCTCCCCCAGGAGACCAGTCCCATCATCCATCCCATCTTACTCATGAAGAAACTGAGGCCCAGAGAGGCCAGCGGACTTGCACAAGGGTACACAGCTGCAATGTGGCAGTCCCTGTTGCATCCTGTTGTCACCCTGAAACCTTTGTGAGCAAAGCAGGATAAAAGAAGATAAGATGGTCTCCCAGCACATAGCTGTCCCCACCAACATCTGAACATGAGACTTCATCACCTGGGAAGAGGCTGAAGAGTCCCTTCACGGAGAAGCTTGGTCCTGGGAAGAAAGACATTCTCTCAGAGAACTTCTTCATGCTTCTGGAATTTGAAATTGGTCAGTGGCATTCCCCCACAGTGTGTAGCATCATGAAGTTCTGCCTGACACTAAGCGGGAACAGCCTGACTTGGTCTGATCCCATCCGCAGAGCACCCAGTTCCTTCCTTCCAGTCTCTTCCGTCCTCTCCCAGGCGGTGGATGTTGCTGCTTCCTGCTGCTACCTCAGAGCTGCCTTCTCCTCTCAGTCATCATGTATCTATGTACCATATCCTTGCTTTTTAAAAAATGTGTGTATGGTCTATGTGTGTCTACATGTTCATGTGCACATGCAGCAGTCAACATCAAACAGTCAACATTAGATGTCTTCCTCTATCACTCTCTGCCTTAATTTTTGAGTCAAAGTTTCTCAACAGTCTGGAACTCACCAAATCAGCTAGGCTGACCGGTTAGTGAGCTTCCATGGCTCCTCCTGTCTCCACCTCTGCAGGACTGTGACTGCAGATGCATGCCACCATACCCTGCTTCTTATGTGGATGTTAAGGATCAAACTCCAGTCCTTGCACTTAACACAGTATACACTTTACCAACTGAGCCATCTCTTCAGGCCCCAAATTCTTGCTCTTAAAATATGTGTGTAGTTCCTGTCTCCTGCTCAGGCTGTCCCCCTCCCTTATGACCCACATTTTCTCCTTATTTCCAAATTCCTCTCACCCTTCAGGATCCAGCTTGAGAAAACACCAAGTTAGCCTGTGTTGCAGCACATACACTCTGACACAGTTAGCCTGTGTTGTGGCTCACACATTCTGAGCTCTGAATTCTGTAGACTTTACCATCTGCTACTTGGGCTTCAACCCAATCATTCACAACAGAGGTCAACAACCTGTGGCCCTTGTCGAGTGCAGCCCCCTGCCAGTTTTGGTAAATGAAGTTTTACTGGAACCCAGCCCCACCCACCCCCATAGTGGCTGCTTTCCAACTATACCAGCAGAGCTGAGAAGTCACCGGGGAGACAACATGGCACACAGAGCCAAATCACCACTGAGTGCTTTCCAGGATGTCCTCTGATCCCCAGCTGTCATCTCCCCTGGGTCTCTAGCTGATATCTGCAAGGGCCTCACTACACTGGTCTCAGGACCTGCAGAACTCTCAGCCCAGGGCAACTCCACCAGCCCTGCAGAGACCTGACACAATTCCAGTGTAACCCACAGCTGTTCCCAGGAGGACCCACCTGGGAAGGTTGGATGCAGTCAGGAGAACATATGCTTGTACTAGCCAGCACACACCTGCCAAATGGCACCTAAACTCTCTTCTGAAGCATTCAGTGAACCATAAATATCTGTCTGTTGCAGACCACAAGTGTCTCTCTCAAGGACTCGAGAGCTATTCCTTCGAAATAAAATCATCAAGAAAGTCAGGGCCCTGTCTCCCAGAACTCTATCTTAGACCAGTGCCAGCCAGCAGACACAGCTGGCATCATGTCCACACTGTCAACCAGAACCCTGTCACTCCACTTCAACTGAGGCTTCTCTCTCCTTCCCCCAAATAGCCCCCTCCCATGGGAATAGAGCTCACCTCTTTGCTGTCAGTAGCTACTAAACAAAACCTGTCCTCACTCATTAGTCTCTGACACTCAACAGTGATCAATAATAGGTCCCATTTGATTATCTGATCCTCCTTCCATCTGACCCCACAGAACTGCTTACCGAAGAGTGAACTGGTCTGCCACAGAGCTGCTGGTCAAAGAGACCAAAAAGGTGGCCGTGTCCCCTTCCCGGATGAGGTTCAGCGGTACGGAGAGGGCAACATTGTCATCCAGGCTCACAAGGGACCACCGCAAGTCATCCTGCGTGGGGTAGACCACCACACTGCCAATCCTCTCCCGGGCAGGGAACACCTGCTGGGGGTCCTCCTGCTCTGAATGGATGTTGTTTTCCCATTTGCCCTCATCTTCCAGAGGGCACTGGCCGGCCTCATTGGCTGGGTAGAGGGCAAAGAACAATTCCATGGCAGTGCCACCCAGCAGTGCTGGGATTTCCTCCTCAGGCTCCAGGTCCAGGCCCGAGCTGAACCACTCCGGCAGCAGCTCCAGCTCAGCCACACACAGCCCAGGGGCCCCCTGCAACCGGCAGCTGGCCGCCACCTCCCTTGCCTCTGGGAAGGCAAACATCTTGACACAGGGAAGATCTTCCCCGGGGTCACTGTCATCCCAGACCATGCCAGTGACGTAGAACAGAGTCTGCACTTTGGGTCTGTTGGAGTAGATGGAGCTGTCAAGGATGTGGGATTTGAGCCTCCAGTTGAAGGGAAATTTCTTCACAGTTCCAAAGGGAGTGGGCGTCAGGAGGAAGTCCCAGGGCACTGTCTTCTCCACAGAGAAGGGGCCGTAGCTGGCATTGATGGCCGGGGGGCTCCGGGCTCTGTGAATGAAGAGTGCTGCTGCCCGAGCCTGCAGGCTGGTGTTGCGCATGAGGTCCTGGTTGGCCTCCTTGAGGAAGAAGGCCTCCTCTGCATCTGAGATGTGGAAGTTGGCAGGAAGATAGGTAGGCAGTGAGGAGAACCGCTGCAGGCTGTCAGCCACGCCTCGACACGAGGTCTCTGTACAAGAAAGGAAAGCAGTCAGGTCCTGTTCCCACATGGGACATAATCAGTGAGCTGTGGTCTTGACCCACTACCCCAGAAGAGTGCACATGGCCACACAGTTCCTCCCCAGTCTGATTATAAGAGAAAATCAAAAAATCTTCCAGAAAAGCCCAGTTCAAAATGCAAAGGAGCCCCACTGGCCACAGACTCAGTGGCCCTGGAGCTGAACAGTTGCCTCCCTAGAGAGAAGCTGTTACCCCTCCTCCCAATGAGGTAGACAAGTATAGGGAATGGGTTAGTGGCCTGAGATTCCACTTGGTTTGGCTATGTTTACCCACACCCTTCTAACAATGGCCCTGGGCAGACCAGATCCTTCACCTGCAAATAGCACACACACACACACACACACACACACACACACACACACACCCTTCTCCAAACAATGTACCCAGAGACCTCCAATCCCACCTGTATCTGACTACACATATACACATACAGCAATCAAACTTTGAAATTTTCCATTCAAATATATTCCCAATGTATCCAGCATGAAGTATGGAAAGGCCCACCTGGCCTGAACTGGTTTTGGGTGCATGGAAGTAAGACTAAGTGTTCTTGAGTGATCTTTTAGGGTATTTACCATCTTATGCCTATGTATAATGGGGTGTACATATGATTAAGATCAAATGCATTGTAGGAAGGGATATGTTTACCCAGCTAAACCTCTATTCTTTTTTCTTATTCATTTATTTATTTATTTATTGTGTGTATGTGCATGTGTGGACACAAGTGCCATGGTATGCATGTAGAACTCAAAGGACATCCTGTAGGAATTGGTTCTCTCCTTCCACCATGTCCCTGTAATCAAATTCAGATCATCAGCCTTATTAGCAGCAAGTGCCTTTACCCACTGAGCCAACCCCCACAGCCCTAAACCTCTATTCTTTACATGTCACCCAGCCTCAAGTATTCTGTTACAGGAACAGAAACAGACTGGGATACATAATCCTGTTTGCATAAAATTTTTAGATTTTTATATTTATATAGAAAGAGATAGACATACATACATATGTACATGTACTTACATTTGTGTGTCTGTGAAACCAGAGTAAAAAGATTTCTTTTTCCACTTACCATTCACATTTCTACTTTCAATGTGTTGTAGCAACCAAGTGTTGTTAATTAAAATGTATAACACACATGCAGAAACACGGCTGGGGGAGATGTATGGGTGTAGTGTATGTGGGGGGGGGTATATGTTGACACCTGCTGTATGTGTGGGGGTTGTGTGTGTATGTGTGTGCAGTATGTGCATGTGTGTATGTGTGTGGTACGTGTATGTGTGTGTGTACATGGTATGCATGTGTAGTGTCTGTATGCATGGTGTGCATGCATGTATGTTTGTGCTTGTATCTATATCTATGGTGTGTGTATGTTTGTGTGCACGCACACGTATTTGTGTGGTTTTGCCCTGTGTGTTTCTTTTTAATGGGAAAACCCAGGCAGCAAAGATGCAGTAGACTTTTTCAACATGAAGACCCCCTACCAGGAGCCAGGGTCAACAAGTCAGGCCAAGAACACAGAGATACCTTTCCTCCACTTCCTCAGCCCTGCTTTCCAACCAGTACTGGAGGAAATGAAGCTGATGGTGTTTAAATGTGGCCTACCCAAAGATAGCCACCCTCCATGACTAACTCCAGATGACATGTTTCCCTTCAGCCTTCCAAACCCCGCCAACAGCTTCCTGATGATTGGCTGGGGTCTGGGCCTTCACTGGGCTGTGTTGGAGGAGCTATGCCTTCTTGGAGGTGACAAGGCTGTAACTGGGAGGTGGTAGGAGGGTCCAGGCAGCATAGTGGCCAAGATACCCAATTGCCAAGGTGTCCCCATACCAGTGCTCCCCCAGTGATGTGCACACAGTCACTGGGCTGGACACATTGCAGCCACACTCTCAGTAGGCCAGTAATTCCTCTAACTAGAGTTACTGTCTGGCCTATAGGACTATCATTGGCCCAAGGCAGACAAGGTCTCCACTCCTGAGGAATTGGAAAGCTCTAGAGAAAGACAGCCAGCATTTGCAAAGAGATTAGGAAGGAAGACCCTTAAAACTGCCCATCCAGACTGTCAGGATGGTGCAGGCCTGTGATCCCAGCTCTCAGGAGGCTGAGGCAGGAGAATTCAGAGTTCAAGGTCAGCCTGGGCTACCAAGTAAGATCAAAGGAGGAGGAAGAAAAGGATGAAGAAGAGGAGAGAGAAGAAAAAGAGGGAGGAAGAAGAGGAAGAGGAGGGTGGTAGAGGAGGGGGAACCACTGCTGACCCAGGCAAATCTCCATGGAATCAGCAGGAAGGGGACCAGGTGTGAGTGTTCATCATACAACTCCTTGAAGCTTCCACAGCTAGGGAAATGATTAAAGCCAACTGTGCTGCATAGCCTTACTTGACACACCTGGGTACAGGGAACATCAACTGGGGAATTGCTTCCATTCTATTGGCCTGTGGCCATGTCTGTGGGGCATCTTCTTGACTGTTAAGTGATGTGGGAGGGCCCAGCCCACTGTGGGTGGTGACACCCCTGGGAAGGCCGTCCTGTATCGTATAAGAAAGCAGGCTGAGTAGCTGGGTGTGGTGGTGCATGCCTTTCGTCTCAGCACTTGGGAGGCAAAGGTAGGCAGATTTCTGTGAGTTTGAGGCCAGACTGGTCTACACAGTAAGTTCCAGGCCAGCTGGGACTACAGGGAGAGCCTGTCTCAAAAACACACACACAAAAAAAAAAAAAAAAAAAAACAAAAAAAAAAACCTGAGGTCTACTTTGTGAGGATTCCTGGTGGTACACACCTGTAGTCCCAGCACTTGGGAGGCAGAAGCAGGTGGATCTCTGTAGATCTTAAGGCCAGCCTGGTCTACATAGTGAGTTCCAGGGCAGCTGGAGCTACAAGGAGACCCTGTCTCAAAAAAGACAAAAAACAAACAAACAAACGAACAAAAAACAAACCTCAGTAAAGCAGAGTGGCTTTCAGAGAAAGACACAAAGACACTAGTCAGGCTGCTAGTTCGTCCGAGCTGCTTATTCCTATGCTTTCTTAAAAAATAACTGGAAAATGCCTAGATGCACAAAATGTGGTAGGTTCTTCAAGGACAAGATTCATGCATGACCTCTGTCTTTAACCAAACGACTCCGCTTTTGGTCTTCCTAGGTTTGTTCAGTGGGCAATGCCATTGCAGCCTCAGTCTAAATGCTGCTGTCTCACCCTCTCCGGGACCCAGCTTCCAGCATCTCCAGCAACTCCAGTGCCAAAACCTGACCCGACCTGGCCTATGACTCTCCCTTGTCAGATCAGATGCCTAAAGTGTCTAAGTGACATCAACCAAAAGTGTGACTCACTATTCTATTGGGCAATTTTTGGCGAATTTTTAAAAAAAGAAGGCTGAGCTCCTCTTGGGGTAAGTCTACAGCGCAGCTCTCCGCGCTGGGACTCCCTAAGCCACATTCACCCTTCCATCCCCCCCCCTCGCCATTCTATACTCCTAGTTTGAGCCCTGAGCCACCCCTAGTCTTGGGGCCCCAGACACCTGGGGAACCAATACTTCTTCCTGACCCTTCTCACCCAGAGCAACGCAGTCCCTTTCTTGGGCTTCAGGAGCACCACTTCTGGTCCTGGCCCCGCCCTCACCTCTCGCTGGTTCCCTGGGCCTGCACCACCAGCTAACTCTCCTAGCCTGCACTACTATCCTCAGGCCTCTTGGGGTAAGTCTATAACGCAGCTCTCTGCGCCGGGACTCCCTAAGCCACATTCACCCTTCCATCCCCCCCGCCTCGCCCTTCTATACTCCTAGTTTTAGCCCTGCGCCATTCCTAGTCTTGGGGCCCCAGACACCTGGGGAACCAATACTGCTTCCTGACCCTTCTCACCCAGAGCAACCCACTC